GGGTTTTTAATACATGGCCTTTATTATGTTGAGATATATTCCCTCTAGATGTACTTTGTTGAGGGTTTTTATCATGAATTGATGTTATACTTTGTCAGATGCTTTTTCTGCATCTATTAAAACAATCAATATAGTTTTTATCCTGTCTCCGATTGATGTGATGTATCATGTTAATTGCTTTGCAGATATTGAACAGCACTTTGCATTTAGGGAATAAATCCTACTTGATTGTGATAAATGATATTTTTAATGTATTGTTGGATTCCATTTGCTAGTATTTTGTTGAGGATTTTGGATCTATGTTCACCAGAGATATTGGCCTGTAGTTCTCTTTTTTGTGTGTGTGTGGTGTCTTTATCTGGTTTTGTATCAGGATAATGCTGGCCTCATAGAATGAATTTGGAAGTTTGCCTTCCTCTTCTATTTTTTTTTTTGTTAAGTTTGAGAAGAATTGTTATTAACTCTTCTTTAAATGTTTGGTAGAATATACCTGTGAAGCCATCTGGTCCTGAGCTTTTGTTTGTTGGGAGTCTGTTCAGAGTCTGATCATCCATACACCATAAAGAAGTCAAATTAATCTTCCCAAGATTTGAAAATGATCTAATATATTCTAAGAGCTTCCATTTCTAACAGTGGGTATTAGATATTTCAATTTTCCTGTCCAGTAGAGAAAAGATATTCCGAATCCAGCACAAAATTTCCTGCCTTACCATCAATATGACCATCTTTTCAAAAAATAAGAAAACATTTTCACCTCCCCAAAAATCAGGAAGGACTGTTATCCACATCACATATATCAAAGGAATAACAATTATGTCATAATTGATCTGTCTAACTGCTGATGGGCAGGTTTCTTTTGCCAATAACTGGAGGGATGCAACCCCATAGTATCAGAAATATTAAATGTGAGAAACGTTGTATGGTGGTTTAGAGAAAATGTGGCAGTAATACATTTCAACTAAAGCTCAGCATGGCTTTGTGGGCTTGCCTGGAAATATAACCACTCTTTACATTATTATGTCTATGGAGAAATATATTCTGGTTTCTAAATAACTGATTACAGATGATTTTTTACAAAGAAATTCATTCCTTTATATTTACAGTGCCATTGTCATTTTTATGGGAATATTTAAAAGTCCACATGTTATATAAAGCCAGGAGCTGGGTCTCATTTTCTAGCACATTCTCTCTGACCCAAGGACGAGCCACCAAAGTTAGGTTGCATTTGTTATCTTCTCTGTTGAATAATTGTACCTTTTTTCTCACTAGCTTTGTAGATCCCTCACTGCAATTTGAATCCCAACTGAAGATAATAGAGTCATCCTTTAAAAAAGTATTTTCTATTCCAAGTCTTGAGAAAGTGAGGCAAATGGGGAACAGTGAAGATGACAAAGAGGACATAGAGGTAAGTCTCCGCTTCAGTTATGAAGAGGCACTGTTATGCACCACAGCAATCCTGACAAATGCCCTTGCACCAAATGCCCTTTGCTACCTCCTTCACTCTTTTGAGATATAATAAACAGTCTATTCCAGTGCCTCTGGACTCCTTGTGAATTCCACAATCCTTGGGATTTAATGGATTGTATAGGAGTTATGAGAACAAATGAGTGAAGAGAGTTTAGGTTAATTGTTTTAGCAAGGACAGAGTTTATGGGCCAAGGCTGCAAAGAAGAAAAGAGGAGCAAAGAAAGGTGGAGAGAGGAAGAGCCCTACAGTAAGGTCAACAACACCTCTGCTCTCCATTTTCTCAGCACAGCTACACAGCGCACCTGCCTTGTAAGATGGGGGAGCGGTTCATGGCACATTGTACTGCGTGAGGTCCCATCTCTATAGCTTGCCTCATTCCTTTCTTACCTTCAGTGTATGGGGAGAACTCGGGACCCTGGGACACAAAACTATAGACGTGGAGTACAATTACATCTAATTTTATCTGGCCGACTGTTTGTGCAATATTTTTGTTTTTCAGAATTTATATCAAAATATTTTAAACATGTATGAAGACACTCTTCTCATCTTGGTGTCTAAAGACCTCTACAAACTGCAAATCTTAAAGGTAAAGGGAAAGCAAGCACTTTTGTTCTCTGGTCTGAAATTTAAAAGAGCTCACTGTATTTCACTAATCATTTCCCTTTTGTCATATTTGCATCTTCTTCAAGTATTTGGTGGCTGATCTTTTGTTTCCTCCGAAGGTGTAAAATATCCCCCAAATGAAATCACTTCCCTTTATTTGGATTACAGAGACACACTTTTAAGAATGCAATTTGGGGGATGGGGCGCCTGGGTGGCTCAGTCGGTTGAGCGTCCGACTTCGGCTCAGGTCATGATCTCACGGTCCGTGAGTTCGAGCCCCGCATCGGGCTCTGTGCTGACAGCTCAGAGCCTGGAGCCTGCTTCGGATTCTGTGTCTCCCTCTCTCTCTGCCCCTCCCTCGTTCGTGCTCTGTCTCTCTCTGTCTCAAAAATAAATAAACATTAAAAAAAAAAAAAGAATGCAATTTGGGGAGGATGGCACCACCAGACACTTAAGACAAATGTTATGTGGCAATGTAAAAGTGAATCCAATATGGGTTAACAGAGAGGAGAGGGTGACTGGCCTAAATCACCTTCAGGTTCGTGCGACATTAAATCATACTTCGATAGTGTCTATATGATTGCTTGTTCCCCCGCAGCCCTGGGACTGGAGAATCCCATGAGCATCCCATCCTCATGGACACCATGATAACTAACAGAGGAAGGTGTAACAGCTGCGCCAAACCCCACTTACATCAAGACTTCACTGTTTTTAACATCTCAGTCAGAGACAGGAGACTGCTCAGGATATCTGACGACCTTTAGCTGTGCATTTCTAGCAAGATGGCATCAGGGGAACCTGTCTGAAAATACTGGGGAACCAGAGTGACTGATTCTACCAGGAGCATTATGAGTCTGTGCAAACTATAAAATACGTTCAAGTCAAGAAGCAGAATTGGTATCTATGAAGACAAGAAGGAATGTGAGGAAAAATAAAATCTACTGAGTTCCTTTGTGCCTAATTTAAGCCAAATATTTTCTGTGTACTTTAAAAATTTCACCTCACAGCCCTTTAAAGTAGTTGTGATTATTCCATTCTTAGAACTATTTCCCCATGCATGCTCTTTCAACCAATAAACCATTGTTTATTGAGCATTTGTTCTACATCAGGCACTAAGCTGAGTACTTCACATATGGGTTATTTCATTTAATCCTTACAATAAACCTATGAGGAAGTTACCATCATCCCTCCCGCCCCCATTATGCAGATAAGGAAATGGAAGCAGAAGAGAGGAGGAATAGTATGTACAATGCTCATGAAAGGGGGAGCTACTCGAACTTGGTAATCTGGTACTTAGCCATGTTGCTCTTATACCTTCCATGTCTAGAAACTGTCTTGATCCTCAAAAAGCTGAAAGCCCACACGTAGAAAAGGCAGAGACTGACCTCCAGGGATTTAGACTCTTCTGCCCTGGGAAATGGACTTCAGACCAGTTTTACACAATAGGAGCAAGTGAAAGGAGGACATTTAGCATAAATTCCATGGACTCCAGCAGAGTGCCTTAAGAAATCTGTTGATGGTAGCTGGCATGTGAGGCATAGGCAGTCTTCTTCCCTTCCCAAGCTTGTAAATATGTCCCTGCATCTGGAGATTTAGAACAAATAGAAGTTATAGCAAGATGGAGTTGAATCAAAATTAGCAAGAACCTTCTAACTGAGCTGCCTCCAGGAATATTTTCTGCACCCATGAGCCAGAAAATAACTGAGTGTTGAATCTGCAGAGGAAATTCTGGAGTAAAATGACATTTCAGGATCAGATGACATTTCAATTCTCTTTTAAAATAGAAAGTCAGATCCTGTGATTAAAGAGAGAGGATAGTACTTTGAAAGAAAAAGAGGAGAAGCAGCGGATAATCCCATCACAGCCTCATGTTAAGCTCTTTATGATGACTGACAAAGTGACCGTTAGGTTGCACATTAGTAAAGACTCGTTGGATAGAATTAAGTAACATACAACCCATGCTGGAGGGGAGGTGGGTGGGGGGATGGGCTCAATGGGTGAGGGGCAGTCAGGAAGACACTTACTGGGATGAGCACGGGGTGGTACATGTAAGTGGTGAATTACTAAATTCTACTCCTGAAACCAATGCTACACTATATGTTAACTAACTGGAATTTAAATTAAAAATATCATAGTAAATAGAAAACAAACAAATAACATTAGTAACATGCTACCCAGGTGTAGTTGCTACAATAGATGAAGTGTGCTAGATAGCTTGCAGCATACAACTAGCCGGTTGTCCGTCTTTTTGAGAGCAATGTAGGTTAGATGTGACATAATCAGGAGCCCCCCGGGGACCCTTGACATGGTGGAGACGGAGACTAAAAGGAGGGGACTTGTAGAAACGGAAACACCACGCTCTAGGGTGATTCTTGTGTTTCCCACAGGACATGGCCATGTGGATGAATGAAGACAGTTCATACCTGCAGGAGAGAGCCATAGTGGTCATCAGCAGGGTGCTGAGCTTTGCCTCCAGGAAAGTCAGGGGATACGTAAGTGACAGTGCAATACGCCACCCGCTCCTGAAGGCTGAGTCTCTGTAGTGCTGCCTTCCAAGTCTTGAGGCTGGAGAGTTCTAAATGCCTGCTTGGTATGAGCATGCGGGCAGGTTGGGATACTGAGAAGAGTCAATATCCTACGTGATTTTACATGGCTCTGCAACTCGATTTTTTCACTGAACAATATGTCCCTCAGATATATTCATGGCAATGTATGTAAGTGTATCTCATTCTTTCAGCCAAAGCATATATCCCCGTAGTTTTGATGTATTGTAATTTAACTATAGATGGAAATTCGGGTATATTTGGTTTTTTTTTCCTACTTCAAACAATATACAAATGGTTATCTTTTCTCAAGTGCTTGTTCACTTAGAAATGCCTAGAAAGATAATAGATCAAAGAGTATAGATAGGTTACAGTTTTAGCATTACAAAATTATCCTCCGGTTTGTATTCCTGTGGATATTAGAGTAATCATTTGCCCACACCTTCACCAACACTGGGATGTGATTGGACTTTCTAACGGTTGCCTTTCAGCTGGAAAGCAAACAGGCATCTCATAAGTGCCAGTATTTACTGGGGTTTTCTGTATTTTTAATAACATCATTCCTTGCCTTCTAAAAATCCTTGCCGTCTATGAACATTTCTCTCCCTTTTGGATAGCGTGTATCCAGTCTCTGTTTTGAAACTCATTCTTAACTGTGATTTTTAAACATAAGTCTTCTAATTGCTCACCTGATTGTTTGAATCATTCAGGAGTTCAGAATAAAGGGGGCCAGAAACATACATTCGTGATGACACCTTCACGTACCCATTTTCTACCTCTTATACAGAGAGCTTTTGACATATTGAGACAAAAAGCCTAGATACACTTTACAATATACCTGAATTTTTACTGTTTTGTTTAAAATCAGCTTTGGAAGGTAACATAATTTACTTACAGGAGGAAATGCAGTCCAGGATGTTCTTTGCATCAGCTAATTCTCTATTTCAAAAGAGAGATGGAGTGATTTGCTTCAATCTTCTGGTTGCCTGGCCAGGGAAGGCAGCCTTCTATTTCTAAAATGGCTTGGTTGTCCGTTCATATGTCTGAAAGGCTAGTCATTCAAAATTTTGCAGCAAGGCTTGAGATTAAGTGCAGTTCGCAACTCCAGCCTGTTTTCTGAACAGTTTCTAAATGTTTCATGCGCTCAGCAAGTCTTTGATGGCGACTGTCTGACCAAGATCTATTCATGAGCGGCTGTCTGCTTTTGCATTTGTATTCAGTATACATATACTTGTTCATTTATATTCTAGTGAGTTCCACTCAGGTAGCAGGTATGACATTTTGGAGTTTTGTCATCTTCTATCACCTCTTCTCAATTTTGATTATGTTCATGAAGTTCATTCTCCCCTACACACATCTCATCCCTCAACTGTTAAAAAAATAAATCTGTAAATTCACATGTGTGCAGAAGCCTGTCATAAATTGGGTGTCCCTACTTACAACTGAGATTTGAGAAGTCAAATAGGGTAACGGATTACTTTGTTCTGCAGTGTTCACTAAGGACCAGCAGGTGGAAGCACACCAGCATTTTCCAGAACATAGAAGCTAAGCTAGCATCAACCAGTTCGTCATAGTCAAGCAGGCATAAAACTTTATTAAGTTAACTTTCTCTTTAGGATAATGTCCTCTAAACATGGTTAAGTCAGTGAAATTAATGGGGGAGAGAGGACAAATATATTAAATAAAACAGATGAATGCATTATTAAATTAAAAACTAGGCTTCCCCCAGGCCTTGTCTCTGTATCTGTGTGTCTGACACATTGTAGATAATCAGTGAAGATCTGCTTTGCCCTTCTCTAATTATATGTAACTACCTATTCTGTGCTCACATGCTGTCTGTTCACTGGAAAGACTTTTTTTTTCTTTCATAAATTACTGTATCCTGGGGTGCCTGGATGGCTCAGTTGGTTAAGAGTCTGACTTCGGCTCAGGTCATGATCTCATGCTTCATGAGTTTGAGTCCCGCTTCGGGCTCTGCACTTGATAGTGCTGAGCCTGGAGCCTGCTTCACATTCTGTGTCTCTCTCCCTGCCCCTCCCCGACTTGTGGGCGCTTGCTCTCTCTCTCTCTCTCAAAAGTAAATAAATAAACATAAAAAAATAAATTACCCTATTCTATACCTTCCAGAATCTCAGTGGCCCTTGTATTATTAAATAATCCAAACTACCATTTATATTCTATAAAAAATACTCTTTCCTGTAGTAATTCCCCTTCTATGACCTATGTGCCTATCAGGGTGAAGAACTTCCACACTCAAAGAATATTTGTCCTTTCAATTAAACTATTCAATTTTCAAACAGGCAAAGAAACGTGAGTTAATTGTGTCATCTTATATCATTAACAGAAAGACTTTTCCTGGGTTTGTTGTTTTGGCACAGTCTTTCAGCATTTGAGAGATGGGTGGGGCAGCGCACCAGTGGTCCTGCCAATCTTTCTCTTGCTTCAACAGTGTTTGGATGGAACAGACTCAGGGGCGCCCCTTTTATCAGCCTCCAACCACTCTCCAAACTTTTTTCCAGTTGCAACCTTTGGAGCCATCTTCTTGGCCACCCTCTGCTTCCAGGACCAGCCGATACCCTATTTTGAGCTTAACTCCTTATTACCGATCAACCAGGAGCACCCAGATTCATCAGAATTATTCCACAGAGGTGGAGGCCGCTGTCAACTGCCTGGTCAACAGACATCTGTGGGCCTCTTACACCTACCTCTCTCTGGGCTTCTATTTTGGCCATGAGGATGTGGCTCTAAAGGCATAAGCCACTTCTTTCAAGAATTGGCTGAGGAGAAGTGGGAGGGCACTGAGCGTCTCTTGAAGATGCAAAACCAGTGTGGCAGCCACACCCTCTTCTAGAACATGCAGAAGCCATACCAAGATGAGTGGGGGTAAAACCCTGGATTCCATGGAAGCCACCCTGGTTCTGTAGAAGAGCCTGAACCAGCCCCTTTTGGGTCTGCATGCCCTGCGTTCTGTCCATGCAGACCCCCATTTCTGTGACTTGCTAGAGAATCATTTCCTCGATGAAGCGGTAAAAGTCATCAAGAAGATGGGCGACCACCTGACAAACCTCCATAGGCTGGCTGACCCCCAGGCTGGGCTGAACGAGTATCTCTTAAAAAGCCTCACCCCGAAGCATAACTAAGAGCTTCTGGAGCCCAGCAGCCTTTTTGAGGGGCCCCTCTGGCATCCCCCTGGTGCGAGGGCTTGTGCCTGAGCCTCTTCCTGCAGCCACTAGGCAGCTTTTTAACCACCCTGCAGCCCTCTCCCAAGCTATGGGCCAAATGTAAACGATAAAGCTTTTAGCAGCAATAATAATAATAATAATAATAATAATTAGATGAGTGGGAATCCCCCCACCAAAAGAAGACGGGTGGGATTTAGGGAGGAAGATGGGGGTGAAGTAGGAGGACCCTAGGCTTGCCTTGTCCAACACATACAAGTAGGTGACTATCAAATCATCTTAAGTACCCTAGAAATCAACCTGAAGACTGGCAGAATAAACTCCACAACTAAAAGTAGAGAAGAGTCCAGAAGAGCCCAAATCAAAGATGGTAGGAAGTGTGGACACACCATTTGGGAAAGAAACAAATCATGAATTCTGTGGTAGGGAGGGAGATGTGGTGGAAGAGAAGGGTAAGAGACAGACTAGCACAGTGGGTAGCACGCGGGGAAGACGAATCCCCATGGCAATTGGCTCGGAAAGTGGGAGGAGCCAAATTTCATGAGTTCTTGCAATCACTGGGGCTTAAAGTCTGGAGCTTTAAAGGTCAGCAGACTTGGCTCTAGAAGAGCTTAGAGGACATTGTGCTGCTCTTAGAGGGAAAGCAAACAGGCAGCCTATGGACATACAGCATGGAAACAGTGATATGAAAAGCACTTGGGGCACACAGTGAGGAGGTTATTTGCTCTTCTCTGAGTGTGCCCCGGAAAGGCAACATTCATGCAGAAACCCCCCTCCATGAACAAAGGAACTGGCAGATGTCGTTTCCTTCTCCTTCCCCTCAGCATTAACACAGACCCATGTGCAGCAACCAGGACAGCGCAATCACTACCTAATTTGCTTACATGAAGCCCTGACCCCACCCCCACCCCCCCCGCCGCCATGCTCCAGCAGAATCACCCTTCCCAATCATGCTTGCTTGGTCCCAGCCCAGCAGGTGCCCTTTCTGAGAAAACTGGCTGGCCCAAACCCCTGCCCATGTTGAGTCTCCTGTCCCAAGAGTTTTGCAGGGCTTCAGTTCTGGTAGAGGTGGCAATGGGTATCATCTCACAAACGGACCAGAGCACACCTAGTTAAAACTTGTCACATTCAAGCCAAGGACCAAACACTTCCCACAATAGGCAGAGAGACAGACAATTGAGCTGCAGGATAAAGTGGCCAGGACACAACAGCAGAGCACACACAGCACACATTGAAGATACTCCCTGAAGTGACAAGCCCTGGGGAATAAGGGAGCTTACAATATAGGGCACTAAGGACCTCTTCTTCATAAGGCCATTACCTTCAAGAACAGGAGACATAGCTGACTGTTCTGACACAGAGAAGCAGGCACAGAGACTTAGACAAAATGAGAAGGCAGAGGAATTTGTCCCAAGTGAAAGAACAGGACAAGGTTATAGGCAGATCTAAGTAAAAAATATATAAATAACATGCTTGATAGAAAATTTAAAGTAGTGATCATAAAGATACTTGCTGACTTGAAGAGAGAGTGGAAGGCATCAGTGAGACCATTAACACATGATAAAGAATTACATAGCATAGATAGAGGGCTGAATAAATAAAATCAGAGACATGCTTGAGGGAATGAATAGCAGACTGGAAGAAGCAGAGGAATGAATCAATGACCTGGAAGACAGAGTAATGGAAAGCAATCACACTGAAAAAAGAAAAAAAGAATTATGCAAAACAAGAATAGACTTAGAGAACTCAGTGACTCCATCAAACATAATAACATTCATGTTGTAGGGGTCCCAGTAGAAGAAAAGAGAGAAAAAAGTGGGGAGAAAATTTATTTGAAGAAATAATAGCTGAAAACTTCCCTAATTTGGGGAGAAGGAAACAGACATCCAGATCCAGGGAGCACAGAGATTCCCCAACAAAATCAACAAAAGCAGATCCACACCAAGATATATCAAAATTAAAATGGCAAAATATAGTGATAAAGAAAAAAAATGGTTTAAATAGCAAGAGAAAAAGCATCAGTCAGTTACAAGGGAAAACCCATGAGGCCAGAAGGAGATTTTTCAACAGAAACTTGGCAGGCCGGAGTTCATGATATATTCAAAGTGCTGCATGAGAAAAATCTGAAGCCAAGAAAGCTCTGTCCAGCAAGGCTATCATTCAAAATAGAAGGAGTGATAAACAGTTTCCCCGAAAACAAAAACTAAAAGAGTTCATGACCACTAAACCAGCCCTGCAAAAATACTAAAGGGGACTCTGTGAGTGGAAAGCAAAGACCAAAACTGACAATATGAAGGTAGGAAACACAAAAGCAGTAAAAAGGACTATTTCTGTAAAAAAAAAAAAAAAAAATCAGTCAAGTAAGTCACAAAATAAAAAGATGCAAAATATGATAACA